AAGGAAGGAAGGAAGGAAATACTGTTGGTCCCACCCAGGAAACCACAACCACTGACTGTGAATTACAGCCTGCTTTAAAACAAACTGAACCAAAACTGAATCCCCAAAAAACCCCAACCCAGCTCCATCACTCAGTTTTCCCCCTTTATTTTGGATTTAATATCATGGGAAATAACAGTAACAGTAGCTGACCATTTGCTGAGCCCTTAGGGAGGGACAGACACTTAATCCTGCATAACTCACTGAATCCCCGTATCTAACTTTAGATGCTGTTAACAACCCAAGGGGCGCCTGGGTGGCTCAGTCAGTTAAGCATCCGACTCTCACTTTTGGCTCAGGTCATGATCTCCCAGTGAGTGAGTTCGAGCCCCTCATCAGGCTCCATGCTCAGAGCTCGGAGCCTACTAGGGATTGTCTCCAACCCCCCTCACCTCTCTCTCTCTCTGCCCCTCCCCTGCTCATGCTCACTCTTTCTCAAACATATATAAACTTAAAAAAATTTTTATACGGGCGCCTGGGTGGCTCAGTCGGTTAAGCGTCTGACTTCGGCTCAGGTCATGATCTCATGGTTCGTGGGTTCAAGCCCCACTGGGCTCTGTGCTGACAGCTGGCTCAGAGCCTGGAGCCTGTTTCAGATTCTGTATCTCCCTCTCTCTCTGACCCTCCCCTGCTAATGCTGTCTCTCTCTCAGAAATAAATAAAACATTTTTAAAAATTTTATAAACAACCACCACTACCACCTCATTTTCTCAATTACCTGAGACACAGAGAGGTCAAGTAACTTGCCCGAAGTCACACAGCTAAAGTTGGTAGAGCAGGGATTCCAACCTAGGTGGTCTAGATTCCAAACTAGGCCGGAATAACTAGATGAGTGCGTGAATGGCATCGCCAGTGTCACTGGGCGGCCGCCCCACTCACCTCCACCAGCTGATGCCAGTGTTCCACCGGCTTGCGGGGGTTGGCCAGCATCTCCGCCCAGTGCTCGCGGCCGTGGGGGTCGGCGGCGTCCGGGCCCACCCGGCACACGCCGATCACCTCGTTGTGCCCGATGCTGGGGGCGGGGGAGGGGGCGGCGGTGAGCACTCCGGGAGGGAGGGGGCACGCTCCGCCCCATCCCTGGCCTCCCGCCACCACCACCCCTTCCCCGGCCCAGGCCATGACCCTCACCAATCGTAGTCTACCACCGCGATGCTGAGCCCCACGCTCTCCACGCTCTCGGGCGCCACATCGAACACGAGCGCCTCGTTGTACGTGGGGTTCAGCGTGTTCTTCTTGATGGAGGTTTTCCGCTTCTTCAGACGCCGCCCCTCGCTGATCAGAGAGGCCTTCACGTAGGGGTCTGGGGGCGGGCATCCAGCGCGCTGAACCTCGACTTCCTCCCTCAGACCGACACTGACCCAAGGGTCTGGGTCCCCATTACCCTCCTCCCTCAGACCCGGGAGTGTGGCCCCCAGCCCCTCCTCCCTCAGACCCAGAAGTTTGGGTCCCCAGCCCCCCCTCCCTCAGACCCAGGAGTCCAGGCCCCCAGATGCTCCTCCCTCAGATCCCAGCGCCTCCCCCCAACCCACCTGAGAAGCCGGTGAGGTCCATCGCTTTGAGGTTAGAGGCTTTGATGATGGTCACGGTGAGGCGCCCGGCGGTGGGGAGGTAGCAGAGTGAGAAGTTGAGCTCCCCGAGATCTGCCTTTTCCTGCAGTTGGGGAGAGGGGTTCGGCATGTGCTGCCTCAGTCTCCCCCGGTCTCTCCCTCACGTCTGGAGCCCCCGGCTCTCCTCCCTGACATTCAGAACTGGGGGTTCCCACCCACTTCACAGTCTGACCCTGCCTAACCCTGGCCACAGCCGCGTGCTGCCAGCGAGAAGCAGCATGAGTGCGGGGAGGGAGCAGGAGACACACAGAGAGAGAGAACACAGTGAAACACAGGCTGTGCCAAGGAGCAAGGCACTGAGAGCCGTAGCTTGAAAGACGGACCCACAGAGCCCTAAAGCAAGAAAACCCAGAGAGGGGGCAGAGAGACCGGCGGGGGCGGGGGGGGGGGAGGGTGGAGAACAAACAAGCAGAGACTTCAGAGAGAAGAGTACAGAAGCAGCAGGGAGGAGAGGGAGACAGACCCAGAGGAGGGAGACAGAGTCGGGTTTGGGGGGTTGGTGCCAGAGCCCCCAAGGGGCAGGAGATCTCAAGAAATGGGGATTAAGACTTGGTGGAGGGTGTGGAGACCTGGACAGAGTGATGGGGGCCCAGAATGAGGTGGGGAGGAAAAGACCCAGAGAGAGAGAGGAAGGGAGGGAGAAATAGCCAGAAGCCTACCCAGCGTGAGGGACAGAGATCCAAACAGTGTGACAGACACTGAGGAGTCAGTCTTGGGGACACACCATCCCTAAGTGAGGCCACAAAGGAGGCAGAGCCTCCCACACCAGCACACACGGACAGGCCACGAGCGGGGGCTGAGCCGGCCCAGACCCACGACCCGCCCTGCCCGGTCCTTCAGCCTCATCTGGGCACCTGGCCTCCCTACCACGCTGACTGAGGCCCAGGTCCCTGGACCCCCCCACTCCCTACCCCTGACAGCTGTGACCACCTAGGCCTGGAGCCCCCGAGGACTGTCTGGGGTCCCCAGGTCCTGATCCTGAAATGAAAAAAGCCAACTGTTTAAAGAATGAAAGTGCAAACTAAGTGAGTGAAGACCTCCCGTGACAATGAGGGGGAAAGAGAAGCGACAGACACAGGCAGACAAGGGGGAGGCAGGGAGAGCCCCACGAAGGAGGCTGTAGGAAGAGCCGCGGGCACCCGATTCAACTGTGTCATCATGCAGATGGAGAAACTGAGGCTCAGAGAAGGGCAGGACCTCGAGCGTGGCCATCCCGTAAACAAAGCTAGGAGCTAGGACAGGGCTCACGCCCAGCGCACGCACAGCAGCCTCGCATCGGCAGACAGCTGGGATGTTGTGACATGCACGGATTAGAACCGAGACGGCCTAGGAGTTGGGAGTTTGGGGTTTGGGGGTGCAGAAGGGGTCAGGACACCCAACAAGCATGTTGGAGTGACTGGATGGACAGAGGAAGTGGCAGGGGATCTGTGCGGGGCGTTGTGGACCCCACAATCTGGCTGCTGGAGGGACTGGTGGTGGCGGGATATTGGGGACCCAGGTACGCCTGAGGCCTGGGGGCATGAGTCTATCAGGATTCGGGTGGAGACCCGAGGATGAGATTAGATCTGGAGGTCATGGGTTTGAAACGTAAAATGTTCAGAGATCAGAGATCAGAGATCAGAAGGGTTAGGGTTTCAGGAAGCTTGGGAACTGGAAAGCCAGGAGGTTGGAAGATGAAGGAAGTCAGAAAAAAAAAGCTGGGAACTCTGAGGTCGGAAGGATGGAAGGTCAGGAATCTCGGGTCAGAAGGCAAAGTCATAGGGTCACAGCATGAGGTTACGAGGAAGTGGTTGGTGGGTGTCTGTTACAATTTTCCCGACTGTTACCAACAGATGTCAAAGGTGGGGGTAAGAAGTTGGGAGATCTGGGGTCCAGGCATGACGGCTGCATTTGACACGGTGGGAAACGGGATGGGGGTCCATTATATCAATCTCTACACTTCGCTTGTACGCTTGCAATATTGCGCAATAAAATAAATTTCAAAAGAAAAGCCTGGGTCAAGAAGTTAGGTTATGGAGTCCAAGGGCAAAGAGGTCGGAAACTGAGGGGTCCCGGGCCCCCAGGCAGAGGGATGCAGGGGCCACTGACCGAGCCTCCCTCCACGATGTCCCTCCACAGTGGGCGGTCGGGGGGCTGCTCAGCCAGCTCCAGGAGGTTGTCCAGCACCACTTGGCCGATGAGGTCGTGCCGCGAGAAGCGGTCGAAGTCATAGACGCTGAAGTGCAGTTTGCGCTGGGCCAGCTCGGCCAGGGGCACCGAGAACTGGAATGTCTCGTTGAACACAGGGTTCAGAGTTTTCCTGTGCACCTGCAGGCGGTGGGGGAGGGAGGGAGACAGACACCGCGCCCATCAGCCCCACTTCCAAAGGACCCGGGGGTCCAGACCCCCAAACCCCTCCTCCCTCAGACCCAGGAGTCCTGGCCCCCGGCCCCTCCTCCCT